TTCGTCGTCACCCCGACCCTCACCTCGGCCAACACCTCGCCAGGCACCATCTTCTGCGTCTCGGCCGCCCTCGACGAGCAGTGCGCCTACGAGACCTCCGAGGGAGGCGTCTGCACCCGCGCCTTCCTCGGTGCGTACAGGAAGGGCCAGCCGCCCGGACAGGTGACGACCCTCCCCTCCCCCGCAGCTGCCGCCGCAACTCCAGCCCCGCCCTTCCCAGCTGCCGCCGCAACTCCAGCCTCGCCGCAGCCGCAGCCCGCGCCGACGCCTTGTCGCTCCTCCACTCGCCGCCGCCCTCACCGCGCCCTCCCTCTGCCCTCGGCGCAGATGCTCCAAAAGATGCGCGCGTACGCGCAAGCGAAGAAGATGCCGCAGCAGATCACCATGAACTCGAACCGTCCCTTCACCGACGCGGACGGCTCCTTCATCGACGCCGACCCGGCGAGACATAGCCGAGATGCGGCCGCGGGGTACAGTCGAGACACAGCCGAGACATAGCCGAGACACAGCCGAGACATAGCCGAGACATAGCCGAGAGATAGCCGAGACACTGTCGAGATGGGGCTGGCGTCTTTGCCCCCCCGGACTCCTCCCGAGCCTCCGGCGACCCCTTCCTGCACCCGTCCTGCAGGCGGGCGGCATCTGCGAGTCGCTCCTCAACTGCCTGACGGGTGAGACGTCGGCGACGCGCAGCATCGAGATCGGAAACAAGCAGGACAAGGGCCAGATCCCGCCGTCCAAGCCCTGCACCGCGGCCGGCAAGATCTTGCCGCAGCCCACAAAGGACTACGTTAAGTCGATCCGCGAGAAGAACGGCTACGTTGCGCAGCTCTGAGAGAACTGCGCGCCCGGGCGGCGCAGCGGCGGCAGCGGCGCAGCGGGCGGCAATGCCACAGCGGCGTCGCCCCCGACGCGGCGGAGCGGGTGTTGCTACGGGAGACCGGCGAGGGGATCGATGACGACACATAGCTGTGAGATGTGCTCAGTCTCAGACGATGCCCACGTGTCTCAGACGATGCCCACGTCTGTATCGTAAGCCGTAGACGGTAGACGCCGTATCTTGTTCTTGATTCTTTTGTGTGCGTACGAACAATAGGATTATTTAAACACGTGCAGCCCCCACAACCTCACAGTCTGGGATATGCTTAAAGTAGTCTCTCTAAATCGTTCCGCGCGATCGCACGTGGACCAGGGAGCAGCAGCTGCAGCGAGCAGGCGACTCTCGCCGATCTCTCGGACGCGTCTGCACAAGAGCGCAGCGCAGGGTGTGTTCCAGTGAAAACTCTGAGACTCGTCCCGCCCCCCGCCCTTATGAGTTGGCCGAGCGGCCGCCCTTGCCGTCCTGCGAGAGCTTGAACTTGGTCTTGTACTTTGACCCCGCCTTCGAGCCTGCCACGCAATGCGAGCCGGCGCGGGGTGAGCGCCGATACGTATGCGTCCTGCGGGGCACGGCAGGCAGAGGGCGCTCGCCCTTGCGCTTCGTCGATCGATCTCGCTTCTGCTTGAGGTTCTTGAGCATCTCGTGCAGCCCCTCCCGGCTCGCCTGGTAGTAGATGACGAGAAGACCCCCAAATAAGATCAGCACCGGCACTCCCAGAGCGAGGACAGTCAGCATCATCGTCGACCCGTCAGTTGCCCTCAAGCCGCCGGCCGCCGACCCAGCGGACGCACTCGCGGCGCGCTGCACCCTAGCGCCGGCCGGCGCCTCCCACGCGGTCTTTTGCGACTCGGCGTGATAATAGAACCTGCGCGGCGAGGGTCCGTGTCGGGAGAGGCGTGGCAGGCGGCAGCACCTCCGGGCGCTGAAGCGCACATTTTCCCCGACTCCTTGTCGTAGTGCTCGGTCCACAGCTCGCCCTCCGCTGCAGCCTCGGCACCTTCATCCGCCAGGCAAGCAGCCAGCCAGGCGACAAGTAGGCAGAACGAGCACAAACGCGACATGTGTGTCAGCGTTTCGCGGTTAGATCAAAAGAAAACCTAATAATAACACGGGCCCTCAGCGGAGCTGGGGAGAGGACCGCCGCAAGCGGCGTGGCGTGGAGCGGTTGTGCATCCCTCCGGGGGCCCCTCTGCGCCGGGGAGGCGTTGTTGGAGGCTAGGACGCAAGCGTCCGTCGCCCTTTTCAAACTCGGGGCCCACTCCGCTACGGCCTACGCTCCGACCCGAATTTGGAGGGCCTAAAAGTTTAAGGTGTTGCTGCGCAAAAGGGGTCGGACACCGGGCGCAGCTCATGCTAAGAGCTAGAAGAGGAGATAGAGAGAACAACCACCCTGTCCCGTTATTGCGTACACCAACAAACACCACAAAACGCTCTCTCTCTCCTGTCCTCACTCAGGGGGGTCACAACTACCAAGTCCCTCGACTAGCTGCCACAGGGCGCAGCTGCCACAGGGCGCAGCTGGAGACGCTCCCCCTCAAAATCGGCATCCACCCCCACCCGCTCCAGCCCCACTTCTGCTGCCGAGAGAGCTGAATCGAAGCAAGCGAGCCATTGCATCTTGGCGTGCTCCTGGAGCGCGGCTTTCTGCGGCTACGAGCACGGCGACAACTACCAAGTCCCTCGACTAGCTGCCACAGGGCGCAGCTGCCACAGGGCGCAGCTGGAGACGCTCCCCCTCAAAATCGGCATCCACCCCCACCCGCTCCAGCCCCACTTCTGCTGCCGAGAGAGCTGAATCGAAGCAAGCGAGCCATTGCATCTTGGCGTGCTCCTGGAGCGCGGCTTTCTGCGGCTACGAGCACGGCGGAGTCGGCGCCGTAGCGCGCATCGTTCCCGCTCATCGCCCATTCCTCCCACGTGACGTGTCGGCCGCGATTCGATGTCGCCACCTTCATCGCCAACGAGGACTCCCTCGACTGCAGGGGGGCTCCGGCGCGGGGAGGGACTCCGCCTGCTGCGCTGGCCGACTGCGCCCTCCTCCTCCATGGGATCGATCCGATTCCGCAGCGGCGGTGCTGCGCGGGAGGCGGCCGCGGGCACGCTGGGCTCGATCAGCGGCTTTCCCCTCAGGTACTCGAGTAGCGCGAAGCACGATTTGGCGGATTCTTGGCTTCAATTTTACGAATGTCTTGGCACCAGCTGAAGGCTTGCGTCCGACATCACGCAGTTCGTGCACGGTATTCGGATTTTCTCTCTCAATGTACGTACTTTTAGCTTACTGGGAGAAAAGAGAGAGGGGGTTGTGTTCTCTAGGTAGGCCCCTAGGGGCCCTACGCGCGGCGTGAGAGCTCGGAAGCGAGCTTAGCACGGCGATCGAGGATGGCACGGTTCACCCCCTTCACCGAAGCGATGGAGATGCGTTCCGCGTGGTGTGATCTCTCTCTCTCAATGTATGTGGCTCTTACGTACATTCCCGGAGGAGGACTGCTGACAGGGCTGAGGGAGGGTGTAGAGGATGTAGAGTGTAGAGCGCTGTAGAGCTGTAGAGATGTAGAGCGCTCTGGAGCGCTGTAGAGCTGTAGAGCTCTACATCCGCCGCGTGACGAGGCGCCTGCGTTGTAGAGCGATGTAGAGCGCGATTTTGTTGTAGAGTTTGTTGTAGAGGCTCTACAGCCAAACCGCCGGGAAGGCAGTGACTCAAAGAGGTCGAGCCGCGCTAATGGGGTTTTACCGAGCTTAGTGAAGCTCTGATGGACAGCCCTGACTATCCCTGACACACAGAGAGTCCCTCTGACGGCACACAACACCCTATAACTGCGTCATGACCAGCCTGCCATGTGTCGCCGGTGCCGCATTCGTCGCTGTGCTTCTTTAGCAGGCGGTGGACTGTCGGCTGCGAGGACGGTCGCATTTGCGCGAGGCGAGGCGAGCATTCAGACGCCTTATCTGCGCCATGACTCGCGCCAGCGCGTGCGGGAGCTCCTGGCTGAGCGTTGAGTCCAGGCGAGTTGCGCTGGCCACGATCGCTACGCCGAGCCGAGCTGACGCGCCGAGGCGCCGGCCAGTCGCAGCCGTGAGGCATGCCACAGCAGCAGAGGCATCTGCCACCCATTGGGCGGGCAGACAGAAGGCCAGGGCAGCACTGGCAAGTGCAACGCGCCTCATGTCGGAGAGCGACCGTGCCTCGTTCGCCGCTTATGATGTAGAGTTTGTTGTAGAGATTTCACGTTGTAGAGCGCCTCTACATCGCTCTACAACGCAGGCGCCTCGTCACGCGGCGGATGTAGAGCTCTACAGCTCTACAGCGCTCTACATCTCTACAGCTCTACAGTGCTCTACACTCTACATCCTCTACACCCTCCCTCAGTGACAGGGTTTGCGATGATGATTTTGCTATTTGCTCGTGTGGGGGTATATTGCAGATTTGTCAATGGTACCGCGTCTGCGACGCGGGCGCCTTGCGAGCAGAGCCCTTAGGACACCCTTTATATCTTGCGCGGTCAATACATCCCACGGACTGGCGCGCACTGTGTACACACTGGCAGTAACACACCACGGCTGAAAAGAAATCCTCCAGTATGTCTCGCCGTCTCCGGGGCACGCTATCCTGTGCAGTCAGGGCAAGTGGGGGCTTTAGGTGTATTGTTGGCAAAACAAGACACAGAGCTCACACAGAATCACAGCGGA